CAGGGATCCAGGGGCAGCCACAGCTTCTCTGGGAATTCTATCCCAGCCCCTCCCCACCCTCACAGGGAAGAATTCCTTCCCAATATCCCATCTAACCCTACTCTCCTTCAGCTTGAGGCCACTTCCCTTGTCCTGTCACTCCAGGCCCTTGTGAAAGGTCCCTCTTCACCTTGTGGCAAAACAAAATGTTTTGCTTTATCATCAGTTTTGGGCTGAGTCCCTTCCATTCTATGAACAAAATTAGGATTCAGACAAAGCCTGAAGCTGTGGTGGGTTTACTGTACACAAAATTTGGTCAAAACTTGACTTTTAAGGAGAACAACAACAGCTGGAAGGTTGCCACAAAGTAATCACATTTCCAGACCAAAGGCCTCGAAACACAGACTGCTCTCTTTAATGAGGAGTTTAATTTAGAGACTGATAAATTTTATTAAAATTTAGGAAAAATGGAACTGTGTGTTGGAAAACAGGTGACATTCCTTTCTTACAGAATTTCTATCACAGAATGGTTTGGGTTGGGAGGGACCTTAAAGATGATTTTTTTCCCACCCCCTGCCACGGGCAGGGACACCTTCCACCAGCCCAGGTTGCTCTGAGCCCCATCCAACCTGGCCTTGGACACTTCCAGGGATCCACAACCCCTCTGGGCAAAGAGATCTGTGTTCCAGGTGGAAGAGGAAGGCAGATCTTACCCTGTATCAGGGGCAGGTAGAGGTGGTACTGGTCGGTCTCCCCGCTGAAGACGGCGAACGCCTGGCGCTTCAGCAGCATCGCCTTCTGCTCAAAGCTTGGGTACAGTTTTAGGGCACTGCTCTGCATGTCTGTGACAGAGAGAACAATTATCTAACCATGGAAAAGACTCCCTGTGATTTGGGCTGAAAATAATCCCCGTGTCCTGAAATCTAAAGGAGAAAAAAACCTCTCTTTTTGGGTCTGCCGGTGGCGAATTCACCTCGCGCTGTAAACCTTGGCTATCCTTCCAAAAGGGCTGAAAAAGAGACCAAAGCTGCTTGAGGCAAATTGAAGGGGTGCTATCCCATCCTTTCCCCCCAAGGACCTATTCTTCCACACCCTCCTCAAGCCTGAATTAGAGGTCAAAGCACCTGACTGCAAGGTTTTCTGCCCTGGCTCGTGCCAGCTCACAGACACCTGCAGACTTAGGCAAAGTCTCCTCCTGGAAAAGATCACACTTGAGCAACTCAAAATTAGGGCAAAACGTGGATGCAGGAGCCCAACACAAGCATTTCTACAACAAACCCACTTCTGGTGTGTTTCAGACGTGACTAAAATACAGATTTAACTCAGCACAGGCAGTAAAGTTGAGAATGTGGTCAATTATGCTGAATCAGCAGTGTCAGCATTTTATTGCTACATCAGGATATTAAAAATGCACCTGATACCTCAAATGGAAATAGATCCCAAACTGATGCAGAGGTGAGTCCTCAGCAGCTGATACTTACTCATCAAATCTTTAAACATGGTTTTCTCGTGTGTCAGGAGATGGTCAATAATGGATCTCCAACTGCAGGAGATAAAGAAGGGATTAGAGAAACAGGGAAAGCTTTGGAATAGATTCACCTCAGCAAAGATTGGGGTCAAACCTTTCAAACAAGGAAACATTTTCCAAGCATGATTCATGAGCAGACTCGTATGTGGGTTAACAAATAAGACACTGAGCAGAATTAGTGGGTGAGACCCATTTTTAACATTATTCCATGCTGTAAAGTAGTACCAAATGGAATTTTCTTCCCAGTGTTAGCCTTTTCCTTTACAGCCTTTCCTTGCCAATTCAGAATACAAGCTTGGAGTGCTACAATCCCATGTCTTACTGAGTGCATGAAGTGTCCATCTGGAAAAAAGAGGGATCCATGTACAACTCCAGCACTTCTTTTTTCCAGGCTCGCTTGGTGTAGGCGTATCCACTCAAGGAACTGAGCAACTGAGCACCAGCACGGAAACTGGGAATGTTGTAGGCACTGGGGGAAGAGAAAAAAATGATAAACAGGTATTTTTTTAAAGTAAAGCTTATGTATATAGGAAATAAATTTGGGACAGTGGTTTTAAACTGCCAGAGGGCGGGGTTGGATGGGATATTAGGAAGGAATTATTGACTGTGAGGGTGCTGAGGGGCTGGGATAGAATTCCCAGAGAAGCTGTGGCTGCCCCTGGATCCCTGCAAGTGTCCAAGGCCAGGTTGGACAGGGCTGGAAGGTGTCCCTGCCCATGGAGCAGCAGGATCTGGGCAGACCAAAGCAGTTTGTGCAGAAGCAACTCCCAGTCTGGGGGGGTATTTCCAGACTGGACACATCACAGCCTGTCTCCACGACAAGTGTGAACCAAAACTTCCCTCCAAAAAAAAATTTCCAATACACTTTGCATCCTTGTCAGCCAAACCCTTGGACATCACCCATCTCTCCCACACTTTTGGCTGAAAAACTAGGCATAGGATAGGGAGATATCCTGCTCTTCCTGCTTCCTGGTGGGTCCTGTGATGTGCCCAGTGCTCTGCTGCCCCATCCCAGTGTCTCTCCACATTCCCTGACAAGCACAGAGAGGGGAAGCTTTGAGGAAAGGCCAAAAATCCAGGTG